AATGTCAACTAATCTCTGGAGAGGCGAATTTTCGATGCTTCTCATTCATATTCTCAGTAAATAGTTTAACACAATCAACTTTAAACCTTGAAAGAGTCACTAATCTAAGGAGAGGCAAATTTTCAAGGCTTCTCATTCCAATTCTCCGTAAATTGTTTAATAGACTTGGTTTTCCACATTGCAAGGGCGACTAATGAATGGAGAGCCAATTTCCAATGCTTCTCGTCCCAATTCTCAGTAAATAGTTTAAGAGATTAGGATTTCAATCTTGCAAGGGCGACTAATCTAGCGAAAGTTCAATTTTTAATGCTTCTCATCGCAATTCTCAGAAAATAGATTAACACACTCGGATTTCAACCTTGAAAGGGCAACATACCTAAGTAGAGGCGATTTTTCAATACTTCTCCTCCTAATTCTCAGCAAATAGTTTAACAGTCACGGTTTTCAAACTTGAAAGGTCGACTAAAATAGGGAGAGGCAATTGTCAATGTTTCTCATGACAATTCACAGTAAATAGTTTAACACAATCGTCTTTCAACCTTGCAAGGGCGACTAATATAGGAAGAGACCAAGTTCCAATGCTTCTCATCCCAATTCTCAATAAATAGTTTAAATGACAGGGATTTCAACCTTGCAAGGGCGACTAAACTAGGAAGAGGCCAATTTTCGGTGATTCTCATCCACATTCTCAGTAAACAGTTTAACAGAATCGTCTTTCAACCTTGAAAGAGCGACTAATCTAAGGAGAGGCGATTTTTCAATGCTTCTCATCCTAATTCTCAGCAAATAGTTTAACAGACACGGCATTCAAACTTCCAAGGGCGACTAATCTAGGGAGTGGCCAATTTTCAATACTTCTCATCCCAGTTCTCTGTAAATGGTTTAACACACTCGGTTTTTAACCTTGCAAGCTGGACGAATCAAGGCAGAATTCATTTTTCAGTGTTTCTCATCGCAATTCTCAGGAAATATTTTAAAAGACTCGGCTTTCAACCTTGAAAGAGCGACTAATCTAAGGAGAGGCGATTTTTCAATGCTTCTCATCCTAATTCTCTGCAAATAGTTTAACAGACACGGTTTTCAAACTTGCAAAGGCGACTAATATAGGAAGAGACCAAGTTTCAATGCTTCTCATTCCAATTCTCAATAAATAGTTTAAATGACAGGGATTTCAATCTTGCAAGGGCGACTAAACTAGGGATAGGCCAATTTTCAATGCTTCTCATTCACATTCTCAGTAAATAGTTTAACATACACGGTTTTCAAACTTGCAAATGCGACTAATCTAGGGAGAGTTCAATTTTTAATGCTTCTCATCGCAATTCTCAGAAAATCGCTTAACACACTTGGATTTCAACCTTGAAAGGGCAATATATCTAAGTAGAGGCGATTTTTCAATGCTTCTCATCCTAATTCTCTGCAAATAGTTTAACAGACGCGGTTTTCAAATTTGCAAATGCGACTAATGAAGGGGGAGGAAAATTGCAATGCTTCTCGTCCCAATTCCCAGTAAATAGTTTAACAGACTAGAATTTCAATCTTGCAAGGGCGACTAATCTAGGGAGAGTTCAATTTTTAATGCTTCTCATCGCAATTGTCAGAAAATAGCTTAATACACTCGGATTTCAATCTCGAAATGGCAACTAATCTAAGTAGAGACGATTTTTCAATGCTTCACATCCTAATTCTCAGAAAATACTTTAACCGACACGGTTTTCAAACTTGCAAGAGCGACTAATGTAGGGAGATGCCAATTTTCGATGCTTCTCATCCCAATGCTCAGTAAATAGTTTAACAGACTTGACTTTCAACCTTCCAAGGCCACCTAATCTTGAGAGGGGCCAATTTTCAATTCTTCTCATCTAATTTCTCAGGAAATAGTTCAACAGTCTCGGCTTTCAACCTTGCAAGGGCGACTAATCTAGAAAGAGACCGATTTTCAGTGCTTCTTATCCAAATTCTCAGTATATATTTTAACAGACACGACTTTCAACCTTACAATGGCGACTAATCTAGGGAGCGGGAAAATTTTCAATGATTCTCCTCCCAATTCACAGCAAATAGTTTAAAAGAATTGGCTTCAACTTTGCAAGGGATACTAATCTAGGGAGAGCCTAATTTTCAATTCTTCTCATCACAATTCTCAGTAAATTGTTTAAAAGACTCGACTTTCAACCTTGCAAGGGTGACTAATCTATGGAGAGTCCAATTTTCATTGCAAAATGCGATATCAAAAACAAAGATGACTACAACTGAAATTATGTAAATATGGATTTTATATATTTACTGTCTAGCAAGAAATGCCAGTGTACATTTATGTGCTTCATGGGGGGGACTGTTTTGCAGTTATTCCCTAAAATATTTTATATTTTGGTATATGTTGAATGGTGAGGCATGAGGTCTTGTGATTAATGTTAAAATTGGAATGGATGAATTGTTCGAGTATCTGCTTGTTTAGTTCCAGGATATTTAATGTTGAAAAGCTTTTCCCCACGTTCCTCACAGTCTTGGGTCAAATTTATCGCAAACGTCAACAACACTTCAACATTCCCGAAAAGATTGGGAAACTTCAATGTGGTTTATTGCTTAGCAAGCTTGTCTCGTTAGATTGATAACTACTAAATAGGGAATTTGATCCTCACTTGGTGTTCCATACTTTCGGATATGTGCCACATCTAATCTATGCTTAGAGAATCCCCAGATACCTCGACGTGATGCAATAGTTAGTAAGAATCTCGCTATATCAATAATCACTGAAATAGGAGTTCGATACTTAGTGGGTGTTCCATAGTTTCGGCCTTGTGCCACGTCTAATCTATGCTTGGAAAATCACCAGATACCTCGACGTGATGTAGTGGTTATCATGTTTTTCTAGTTAGATCAATTACAACTGAAGATTGAGTTCGATCCTCACTGTGTGTCACATAATTCGGTCTTCTTTCACAACTAGGACAGGCTCAGAAAATCACCGTATACCTCGACGTGATGTAATAGTTAGCAGGCTGGTCTCACTAGATCAATTAGGCCTGAGTATACAATTTCCATTGCTCGGACTATCATCACCATCTTTGTTGCGCGTGTCATGTCTAATGGACGTCAGTTATCAGTTATCGCCTGTTAATTCCCCTCTCTAAGTTCACCACCACCTTAACCAGATATTGAACTCACACTATTTAGGTCCTCGCACTGGATCTAACTAACGCCTTTATCCACTGCCATTTGTCCCCAAGGACGCATGACACAGTGGATAAAATGTGAGTACAATACATGGTTAAAGGAGAGGTGAACTTTGAGAGGAGAATTAACCGGAGATAACTGATAACTGGCATCCATTAGACATGGCACGTGGAACTAGAACAGTGAGCGGAATAAAGGGTTCACTTCGACATTCAAACCACCTGAAGAAGTCTGGAGCATACAACAGCCGAAACGTTGTGATAAATATGGCAACAAAGATGACGATAGTAATCTGAGCAATGTAAATAGTGTACATAATACCTCATCTCAGAAATATAAACAGATACTGAAAGGCGGAAACGTTGTAATAAATATGGTGACAAACATGAAGACAACAGTCCGAATAATGTAAATAGTGTACATAATACCTCATCTCAGAAATATAGACAAATACTGAAAGACCGAAACGTTGTGATAAATATGAAAAGATGAGGAAATAGTCCGAATAATAAAATGTATAATACAAAATATAGACAGAGGACTGAAAGGCCGAAACGTTGAATAAATGATGAAGACAACAGTCCGAATAATATAAATAGTGTCATCATCTCAGAAATATAGACAGATACATCTGGGTAATGAGTTCGATCCGTGTTGGTTCTTCCACGCTTTGGGCCTTGCGCCACATCTAAGCTACGCTTAGAAAACCACCATTCCCTAAAAGATTCGAACCAAGATATTTTCTTACACTTTTTTAATCTCCATACACGGTGACCTTTCAGTCGATATGTACGTGTGCCCGGACACCGTGTTCACACACATTTTCCGTATCATTCTTATATCTTCCTATTATTTGGTTCCAAGATGGACGACGTCTGAGATATAAAGTGAAGCCAATGAGAATTTGTACGACTTTCACAATAGATTTAAGAGCAGCAGACACGTGCAAAGGAAATGATAAAATAATTGTCGGGCCACTTGAGAAATTTCCTACGCAGTAAAAAGAAGTGCACGTTGAAAGAAGTAGTTCTAAAATGGCGGAGATCGTCTGTTCTCATGGTTTCCATTCAGAAGGAGAATAAATAACTTCTTTAAAGTTTTCTTTGCACATATTCCAAGTGGTTCCTGTTGCTGGTTAACTTATAGATAACTAGCAGCATGGTCCGGCGTTGCCCGTGCTTGATTCAAAACTCGTAGGACTTATACAGCAATTTTCTTGCATGAAAAGGAAAAATGGAATGGAGTTTGCGTATCACTGGCTGAGGACTTCAGTGTAGACCACATTTTCAGCTTTTTGCGAGGGTGAATAAAGGAACACCTCCTCGCGCCTGCCGACTCGAGAGCAAGCTACGTAAAGTTGGCCGTCTGAGAAGCTCCTGTAAGTGTACACCAATGACAGACAGCCTTTGTCCTTGGGCCGTCAAACCCTTCAAATGGCTCCTTCACATGGTGACTCCCAATGGCCTCGTCATAAATCCGGTCGGTTTTAGCTAAAAACCGACATGCGGTTCAGGTGCAATCTGGGCGTATCGGTTTTGGGATTTTATCGATTTTCCGCGCTGTTTAGGGGTCCGTGGTCATGAAACTTCTGGACAGCACTTCTAATGGTAAACCCTAAGAGGGTGTCAAATTTGGTTGTAATGCGATCATTCCTTCTGTAAGTAGATTTTTTCGATTATCGATTTTTTCGGAACCTGATTCCGAACTCAAAAATCGGGCTCCGTCATGTCCTTACAGGAGCCATTTGCAAACTTATCGTGAAAAACGCATCGAAATCGGGTGAGAAATGCGGCCTGTGGGAGGTAACAACGCCCACGACAGACACATAGATAGACAACATGAGATAGATAGATAGATAGATAGATAGATTACACAATTGAATTCTTTCGGTAGATAGATTACCAGTTATTATGATCTGATCAGTGTAGGTATATCCCAGTGGGTCACGATCCCATACATGATATTTTGTCAGATTTAAGAAATTAGATTTTAACAACTTTTCTTTCATTACTTGTTAAAAGATGGTAATACTTGGTATGTTTTGTTATTTAGTCGGAAAGAAAACCGCTCACAAGGTTACGGTGATTTTCTATGAGCTGCATATGTGTGACACATTGCCGCAAGTAAGGAGCACCCAGTGTGAATGGATCTTACTACACAGTCGTACTTGTTCTACGGAGGTCTGTTGAGTTTGGTTGGACCTGCTAAGGGCTGAAGTCCCGCTCACACAGCTCTGAGGGTCCTTGAAGCACGCAAGCCGTCCTACCATGTCAAGTCGACACACTATCAGGACGGAAAAGAGTATATGACACCATAATACTGCTGGGTACACATTATAAGGCAAACTGTTTTAAATTTGCATTAAATATTCAAAATCACTGAAAACTACTGCATTTTGTAACATTAAATCATAATATAGCTAAATTTTTCACTATTTACTATGAAGTAAATGAAGGTCTTATTAATATTTAGTATGTTTTATTTTATTTAATCGGGACGATACAAGTGTATGGTGATTTTTTATAAGCAGCTTAGATGTGGCACAAGGCTGAAAGTAAGAAACTGGAACTTACTATTCAGTCGTAATTGTTTTACCGCGACAAGCTTGCTAACCATTGCGCCATGTCTAGGTGTTGCAATCAAAAGTTTATTAAATGCAAAACTATGCACTTACAGAGACGTTGGTTTGGTTTGCGACTTACTCCACTTGGCTTCACCCAAAACGACTGATAGGCGGTGCTATTTAAGAAGGTAAATATTTCCTTCTCTTTCTCTTTTTCTTCTTGCTACAAGACCCAGCAGTTAGTAGATGAGAATATTCGCCGCGATGCAGTGGCGTTCGTTTCCCTGGGCTACTAACAACTGAACCGTAACACACGCCCATATACACACGTGTGTATCACGCACGTTAGTTCCACGTATAAACAAACAAGCCCCTTCTTATAGGTATCATAATATAGTCGTGGTCTGGGCTCATAACCAATGTTGTTCATCATGACGGTCGTCTTTGAGTATAGAATCCAGAGGTTAGCAGTGAATATTTCGAAGACAGTAGGAAAGCGTTGTTCAGGTTAGCAGTGGATATTTTGGTAAAAATAGCAGAGCGTAGTTCGTCCTTCTGTTATCTCTTCGCCTGACAAGCTGGACTCGACATTCGACAAGAGTAGACAAAATGGCCGCCTTTATACACGACGGATTGAATGTTCTACGTCTTCTGATTGGTTAATCTTCTATTGGTGGACTATAAAGTGAGTTAAATCATTTGGGCTAACTTACTAGTACATACATATACACAAAAAACTGCAACAGTTTGAATGATTTTTCCTTCGATCGAAACTGTGAAAAATGTAAATCTTTTTCATAATAACAGGCACTAATTTCAATTTGATGTAAATTTCAATGTTTTGTGCTTTTTTTTTTTTTTTTATTTTTTTACATTTCACCCAGACTCACATGAGTCCGCCAAATATCGTTTGCGGAAGAAATGCTGCAGAAGTTGTAAATATTTACTGAAGAATTTCCGTATCTTGCATAAATAAGAGATGATTCCCGTCCCATGTTCTAACTTGGTAAGCGTAGAGAATCAGTAAATTTACATTCCTTTCAAGTGGTTTTCTTTTCTACGGTTTGGTTGGCCAGGGAAAGTCCCTTTGAACAAAGTTTCGTTTCCATTTGATTTTTTTTGTTATATTCCCCATAGCCGTAGAGATTTCCAGTCTGTTAGGCTTCACTTGTCAAAAGCTACGTTAAAAAGCGTAAAAAAAAGATTTTGAAGCTAATAGAAATGTTGAAATCTTAAGTGATTCACTTGACCGGCAGCGATTAGTCGATTGAAGCCAATCAACACTTGCTTCCATGTGACTCTTGGCTGACAGCGAAGGTGCCTAGGTAACTCTTGCCACTTTACATCTTGGGAGATTGTCTCCCTTCAAGCAGAGTTGGCCTTTTTCTTGTATTTTATTTTATTTGCACTGTCACATGAGAACCTGCTCATAGCATTTGGTTGCCATAACTATACAACCACCGATTCTCTGACATAGATACAATACGACTTCTCCTATGTGCAGGTAATTGATTTATAACATAAAACACAGTCTTGTACTGGGCAGTGAAATTTATACACTATATTGGCCATCAGTTACATTTGATGCGTTATTTTGATTAGTGACAAGTTTCGTTCTTTGGTATGACGATAAACTACAACCGGCAACAAGACGTCCGTTCTGGAGATATAGGTTTTGAGAAGCATGGAACCCCCTCTTAATTACTGTTGTTCCCAGGACCACCCTGACCCGGTATGGTAGCACATTCTAGAGACCCAATTATCGGCAAATTGTGAACCTCCAAACAAAAATCAAGTTTACATTTTTATGCTAAAATGGACAATACATTTTTTATGTCAAAATGACAATCAAGGCAACACTTAAATATATAAAAATACATTTTTATAGTAAAATTAACAAAAATACAATTTATGATCTAAACATATATATATATCCAAAAACATACCTTTATTAAGAAATTATAAAATTATGTACAAAATATTTAGATTTCGGCATTATATAACACACACAGTTTGATAGGCCGCTAAACAAAATCAATCAAGCTATTAATCACCACTTGCCATAAATAATTATATGCCGATCTGGAAAAGCTACAACTGATAAAAATGAATGATAATAGAGAATCTAGTCCGAAACCAACTGAAATATTCACTATACAATGTGTTAATTGTTTGACGAATGTTTCTAATGGAAAGGTTGCTTTCTAGAGTTCTTGGATAGTGAATCAAAAGCTTAAGTGACCGAAAATTTCAGGATATTCGGCCCTAATAGGTCTTGGTGTTCAAGCTGATATAATTATTAATCCCTTCGGACACCTATTGCTGGGAGATGATAGAAAAAAAATACTGCTAAATCATGTACAGTCGCCGGGATGATTTTTCATTTTTTCTTTTGAAAAATTAACAAGGTACTCAGGGAGAAAGCTGGGGTTTGATGCGCTGAGAACTGAAGCCAAAAATTAGATTCATAATCTTTAAAAACATTTGAGAATTTAGTTTTAAATCTCACCTAAAAAAATATACAGAAATACCTTCTTGCCGCAAGTTTTTGCTTACAAACTCACTTGAAAATGTTACTATTTTAAAAATAAATCCAAATGAACTTGATATTTTTGCATTAGATTCATTAAATTGAAAATCGATTCAAACCAGAATTCTAATCATGAATCATCACAATCAAAATATCCAAATTTTTATTGTATTCGATAAGTAAAAACTGTAGCAGATAGATGTATACGCAAGCCCTTTTATCTGAATTCTTGCATGACGAGGTCACACGTCATGGGTTGGGCTTTATTGCAAACACCCACTAGCAAGAGATCGACCTGGTTTAATACACCTTTCCTACGTACAAGGTCTCCGTTGAGCATTTTAAAAAAAAAAGCTCGCTGTCACCGAGTCCTTGTTTTTAGTGGCCAGTAGGTCGTACCTTTTGATTCCCTGTGTTAAGTTTCAATCTATGTTTCTAAGTATTCAATAAGCAGAATGATATATTAGAAGATTTTCTTTTTACTGTATTCGATAAGTAAAGACTGTAAAACATTGTAAACGTTTACAAAAAAGTAAAGTCAATGAATAAGATGTGTTAGATCAGTTGTTAGATCATAATTAATACAAACAAAAAGTAGTTAAAAGTGTATATCATTATGTCTTTTAATTCCTTGGGTAACATAGGACCACAATAAGACCTCTCCAACGGTTACGGGCGATTCTCTTCATCTCGGCCCATGTCGTGCCGGCTGCCTTTCCGGGGGATTTTGACCAGCACGCGTCACATGCTCCACTTTGCAGGACTCTTCCACAGCTATGTTGTTGTTTGAAGATACCGTTAAGGTTTATGTTAATAAGCTAGTTTGGAAGTGAATAGGTTGTAAGCCTAGAACACTACCCCACACCCAAGGAGGACCACTCCTAATCCACAGACCTGTCGAGCTTGGCTGGACCTGCTAAGGGCCGAAGCCCCCGCCCAATTAGCTCCGGGAGGTGCTTGAAGCACGCAAGCCGTCCTACCATGTCATGTCGACACACCATCAAGACGGAAAAGTGTATATAACACCATAATACTGTTTGATACACATTATTATGCAAAATGTTTTAAATTGGCATTAAATATTCAAAATCACGCTAAAACTACTGCATTTTGTAACATATTAAATCATTTTTCAGCATAATTTCCCTTTGAAGTAAATGAAGGTCTTATTTGATGGCACAATGATTTACTAATAAAGTGCTTGTGCAATGCATCGTGTCCATGTGAAATTTCTAAAGGTTAATTAAATTATACATTTTATAATGCTGTTATATAAGGCTTTCATTGATCAGCGAAATGACATTCCATTGCTAAGACTTAGAACCTAATCTTAATATTCAAACTCGTTAAGACAAAAAACGGTAAATACTTTTTATTTAACATATACCCAAATTTCAAATTCCGTGTAATACCTCGGTTCCAAAATCGACCAGCCCCAACATGCAATGTCGCCTGGGTTACATCCAAATCACGAGGTTAACTCCGATGTTTAGCAAATCGATGTATGAGCTAGCATTTTATCTAAAATGCTGCATGACGAGGTCGTACGTCATGGGTTGGTCTTTATTAACACTCACTCGTAAGAGATCGACGTGGTGTGTTTCACCTGTTGTACGTACAAGGTCTCCGTTGACCATTTAAAAAAAAGAAGCTCGCTGTCACCGAGTCCTTGTTTTTAGTGGCCAGTACGACGTGCGTTTTGATTTCCTGTGTTAAGTTTCTGTTATGGGAACTTACCTATAATAATAATGGACTAATCCTGACATTATAAATACTGCGCCTCGCAAGAGGTATGAGGAGATTATAAGACAAGGCGAGATAATTGAGAGCATATTGTAAGGACATTGGAATAGCGATACTTGTCGAGACAACATAATTCACTCTAACCAAATCTGATAGTCATTACTAATACTTCTACTTCTTTTGTATTATATTTCTGTTGTAATATATCTTTGTATTCCATACCTGTGTTCGTGTTATTCTTTCATTGGTTCTAACCTTGGACCATGACCTTGGTACAAGGAACTTGGACCATAACAGTTTCAATCTATCATTTCTAAGTATTCAATAAGCAGAATGTTACATTAGAAGATTAAAATTTGGCGCATGCTCTGTGACATTACGTGACACCCATTAGCATGAAATAAACTTGGTATGCGTCACCCTGCCTACATTTACCTTGTTCTAGGTTTTCTTTGAACATTTTAAAAGGCTCGCTATCTCCGATTCGTTGTGTTTGGTCGCTAGGGTACGGTCTGCTTTTTCATTTACTGGGTTAATTTGAAATCTGCCATTTTTATGTATTTGATAATCAGAATGAGACATTAAAATGTTAAAATTTGTCGCAAGCAACGTAACATTATGTTTGTTCGTCTTCTATTCATATTTAAGTGATGTTGTTTTCGCAGATATCCTAGAAATTTTGATATATGTGCAGTATTTATTTATATATATATATATATATATATATATATATATATATATATATATATAGGCGTGTGATTGTGTCTGTGCGTTTATTTTGAGATAGATACATTCTCAAGAGCTATGGCGTCTTCAACGAGAAAATATTTTACTTTACTTCAAATTTGAGTACATAGGAAGGAACATGTGAAGCGATCGCGTGTGGCGGGAAGTTAAGACTAATTCTTTTTTCCTCGGCAATACTTTCCACAGCGGAGGAAATTGCTCAGGAGGCGTGACATTTATTTTATCATTTCCCCTCCACGTGTCTGTTGCTCTTAAGTGTCTCTTGAAAGTCGTACGACTTCTCACTGGACAAAACACGAAAGGAAGAGATAAAAATGTATTATGTGTATTAGTTAGTAGGTGAGGACGGGTTGGTTGAGGTATGGGAACACATATATCGACTGCTAGTTAATAAGTCAACTAGTGAAGAGAGTAAGCAGGCACCAAAAAAGAAAGAAAAAAAAACGGTGAAAGAACATAAAGAAATATTAGTACTGGTAAAGAAAAAAAATCCAAGATTCCTGGAAAGATATATAGGAGATTGTTGAGAGCGTTAGTATTAGGTCGTAGCCACGCGCTAAGCTTTTAGTTCATGTCGAACTATTTGCCTCCGGACAGAGAGGCCCCAGACGATGGAAGGGGTGGGTAGACAAACCCGACCCGGTTATTACGTTGTCTATGGGGAATATTTGCCTGGGTCTACAAGCTGGAAAAACCCATGTTAAACCGGACTTGTACGACATCTCACTCTTTCAGGAGCTCGGATATATACAGAGGCTGCCTCGAAACGGTGCATAGGTTAACAAGCTTGTCTCGCTAGAACGATTGCGACTGAATAGTGAGCTCGATACTCACTGGGTGCTCCCTACTTTCTGGCTTGTGGCACAGCGAAGCAAGGCTTGGAAAAAAAACTATACGAGATTCTTATAGTATTATCCGAGAATACTGGAAATAAAGCGTTGATGACACTGGAAAATGATCCAGAGTACTCGAAACAACATCGGAGATTACAGCAAGTCTGTCCGTAAGAACTCGAAAGAGAGTTCTAAAATTAAATATACGTAATTACTCGGAGAAAATATCCGTAAAAAGGAGACGGAAATATCGTAAAATACCGGAAATTATCCTCGGGTAATTGAAATAAATAACCGGGAGTTTTGGAAAGACGTATTCGAATGTTCTTGGAAGTAATATCCTTGAGAAATGCTGGAAATAAATATCCCTGGAGGTAAGAAATATCCAAGAGTACCTGAAAGAAATAATCAATAAAACGAGAAAGAAATATCCAGGAGTACTTGAAAGTAATATCCAAGATTAATAGAATAAAATATCAGTATGTGATGGAAAGAAATATCCGAAGATATAAGAAAATATGAATGAGTACCTGAAAGAAATAATCAATAAAACGGGGAAGAAATATCCAGGAGTACTTGAAAGTAATATACAAGAGTAACAGAATAAAATATCTGTATGTGATGGAAAGAAATATCCTAAGATATAGGAAAATATGAAAGAGTACCTGAAAGAAATAATCAATAAAACGGGGAAGAAATATCCAGGAGTACTTGAAAGTAATATCCAGGAGTAACAGAATAAAATATCAGTGTGTGATGGAAAGAAATATCCGAAGATATAAGAAAATATGAATGAGTACCTGAAAGAAATAATCAATAAAACGGGGAAGAAATATCCAGGAGTACTTGAAAGTAATATCCAAGAGTAACAGAATAAAATATCAGTGTGTGATGGAAAGAAATATCCGAAGGTATAGGAAAATGTCCAAGAGTACCTGAAAGAAATAATCAATAAAACGGGGAAGAAATATCCAGGAGTACTTGAAAGTAATATACAAGAGTAACAGAATAAAATATCTGTATGTGATGGAAAGAAATATCCTAAGATATAGGAAAATATGAAAGAGTACCTGAAAGAAATAATCAATAAAACGGGAAATAAATATCCGAGAGTACTTGAAAATATGCTAGAGTGCTGGAAAATATTCATGAAATCTTGAACGAAACCATCGAGAGTATGGGAAAGAATGTTCTGGGAGTACTTATAAAAAAGAATCGAGAACACAGAAAATGAATATCCGTGAGTACTTGAAAGTAATATTTGCGAGTAATGAAAATAAATTTCAGAAAGAGATGGAAATAAATATCAAAAGACATAGGAAACAATCAGAGAGTACCCGACGGAAATAACTTGGTGTATGAGAGTTATAACCGAACGTACCTTATTGGAAGATAACAGTAAGAAATATCCGAAAGTGTTGCGCGTCCTGGGTAAGACGATAAACTACATCTGCGTCATGTGTATGACGATAAACTACATCCGCGTCCTGGGTAAGCCGATAAAATACATTCGCGTCCTGGGTATGACGATAAACTACATCCGCGTCCTGGGTATGACTATAAACTACATCCGCGTCCTGGGTATGACTATAAACTACATCCATGTCCTGGGTATGGCTATAAACTACAACCGCGTCCTGGGTATGACTATAAACTACATCCGCATCCTGGGTATGACGATAAACTACATCCACGTTCTAGGTATGAATATAAACTACATCCGAATCATGGGTATGACTATAAACTACATAAGCATCCTGGGTATGACTATAAACTACATCCATGTCCTGGGTATGACTATAAACTACATACGCATCCTGGGTATGACTATAAACTACATCCACGTCCTGGGTATGACGATAAACTACATCCGCGTCTTGGGTATGACGATAAACTACATCCGCGTCCTGGGTATGACGATAAACTACGTCCGACAGCAAGGCCTCTGATAATACGTTTATGGAAAAATAATGTTGCCAGCTGTACGTTTTTGAAAAAATATTACTAGCTATACGTTTTTGAAAGAATAGTGTTGCCGGCTATACATTTTTGAAAAAAATAATAGTACCAGCTATAGATTTTTGAGGAAAATATATTATTAGAAATAGATTTTTTGACAGAACAAAAAAATTACCAGAAAAAAAAAGTTGTCGGAATTAAATGACCTATTGAGGTTGATATGCCGTAAAACAAACCAAACCAAACCAAACCAAACCAAACCAAACCGAAAGTTTTGCAAAACAAATATCCAATGTATTGGATACAATTCGAGAGGACTTGAAAGATATAATCGAGGGTACGGGAAAGAAGTATCCGTGGGAGCTTGAAATCATATCTGTAGATAATGAAAAGACATAATCGAAAGTGCTGGAATGTAATATCCGAGGGGATAAGAAAATATTCCACAGTACTTGAAATAAATAATCGTAAGCATGGGAGACAATTATCCACGAGTACTTGAAATTAATTACAGCAGTATCGTATATGAGAGGGAAATGAAGACCACGAAAAATGATCTCAAGGAGTCAGTGGGTGCATAGTGATTAGCTCTGAAACTAGGTGCCCTGGAATGATATCAATAAAAAAAATATCCCTGAAACATTCACTCACGGAAAAGAAATTTAGAAATTCTGTGTTATGTTTGGATCAATAATTTTTTGTATTTTCAAAATACATATTGCTTTCCACTATGGTACAAGTTGTACATGTAGGAACTATTTAGGATTTCATAGAGACTTTGAGGTATTACAGTGATTGTAGTAAGAATGATATGTAAGAATGTGTTGTTTTGGTGTAAAAAATACCGTGGTAGTTATGTGGCTAGCTAGGTTTTATTATAAAATAGAAGACCAGCTTCTCCGACCCCACTTTTGGCCTTGTGACACATTTTTGTAATTTAAAAAAAATATTACTTTCCTCTCTTGGAGTTTCATTATTTTTAAGTTGTTTTTTTTCTTTCTGTCTCCGCCTTCGACGCACAAATTGTAGATATGACAACTAGTTAAGACTTTTTAGAGACTTTGAGGTATTATGGTCGCTGTAGTAAGAATGTGTTTTTGGTGTAAGGAATATCTGTGCTATGTTTGGGTGAATAATTATGGTTGGCTAAGTTTATGATAGGACCGATTGAAGATCAACCTTCCCTCATTCTTCTCCTTGTGCGACATTTTTTGTATTTACAAAATAAATATCGCTTTCCACTATGGTATAAGTTGTACATGTTGGAACTATTTATGATTTCATAGAGACTTAGAGGTATTACAGTGATTGTAGTAAGTATGATAAGTAAGAATTTGTTGTTTTGGTGTAAAGAATAATGTGGTAGGTTTGTGACTAGCTAGGTTTTATTATAAGATAAAAGACCAGCCCTCATTTATCCCCACTTTTGGCCTTGTGACACATTTTTGTATTATATCAAAATAAATTTTATTTACTACCTATATCAGTGTATACGTGTCATTGTGTGTAACTAAAGAAAAAAAAGACTACAATGGAAATGAAATAAAGAATTCTAAAATAAAGTATTTAAATATTGTACATGTTTTGAATAGAACCAAAATTAAGGTGTCCGTAATTCTTTGTTAAAGAAATGTCGAAGAAATTCCTTATCAGTTATCGAGAGAAAGACTCACTATTCCTCAAATCCCGACTTTTGGACGCCAAAAATGTGAACCTCACTGATAATCGAGACGATTTGTTTGCTGACTGGCCGAAACTGTGATGTATCAAGACCCCCCCCCCACCTCACATGACTCATCCCTGCGTGATATTCTAACCCTTAATCCACAAGAGATATTCAAGAGAAAGATATCGGTTAAAACCTACCTTAGCCGCTAGAAGAAGTGGCGTCAACACTAAAATATATTTATACATGGAGGACGACGGAAAGAAGGGAAGAGAGTGTGCGGGGAGAGGTTGGTGTTTGAACATCGGACAAAGTTTTAGATCAGAAATAAATAAGTAAATCTCTTTGATCTCTACGTCCATATATTCATCCACGCATGTTTTGTATATATTTTTTCTGCCTCTATGTGTCGTGTTCCTTCAGGTTGATCGTCAGTGATCATAGTTCTCCACGACTTCCTATGATTTGTAGGTCTTAGTAAGCTGTGTTTCGAATACGAATAAAATAAAATAAGAAGATAAACACATAAATTCTTATCCTAATAGAAGGGAGAATTGAAAATAATATTTTATTTACAAAGCAATCATTGACTTTAAAATAAATAACAATATAAATAATATGATCTAATATATATATAAAAATGTATATGTATTATAAATATACTGATTTAAAAATATGGTTTCATCGCTACACGGGAATTACCATGTTTCAAAAGGAGAAACCAAAGGCTTCAAATTCAATTATATTAAATTAAATGCATTGGTTCTGTTTCATCTTCAAGTGAATTTTGGTATTCAAAATTCGATGCAAAATTCACTTGAAGATGAAACAGAACTAATGATTTAATTTGCTTTTATTTTAAAATATATCAAAATAATGAAGCAACCAAATTAAATTGAAAAAAAAAAACAATAAAATAAATTAATATCTTAATATTTTCGTTTATTTTTAGTTGCGTAAGCCATACTGGCGTCGGTAGATAATAGAGTTAATCAATTTACTTTATTTACTGCATATACTCGTGTATAGTGCTCGGTTTTAATATCAGTAATTTTGAGGCAAAAAATTGGGTGCGCGCTGTACACAGGAAAGTATTAATAACATAAAATGCACCAAAAAGTACACCATAATAATATAAAAAAAAATTTCAAGATAAATCCAACAAAAACAAAATAATATAAATCAGGTAATTAATAAAGATAATAAAATATATAAATGTGACAAATAATAGAATAATTAATTAAATAATAAATCATACTTATTATAAAACCCAGGTTGTGTGTGAGTGTGTGTCTGTACGTCTGTATATTGGATCGGATTTCCTACATTTTTCAAACGATTTCAACAAAACTTTACAGAGCATCGTAAAATTACCTTGCGGTGGATCTAACAGCGCCAAAAATTTGAAAAGACATAATAGTTTTTGCACGAAATCAAGTTGAAAACACGATTAAGAGGCATCGCTATCGCGAGAATGAAAAAAGGGCAATTCATATCGAGTTATACTTATTATAAAACCCAGGTTGTTTGAGTGTGTGTGTGTGTGTTTGTGTGTGTGTGTGCGCGCGCGCGCGCGTGTGTGTGTGTGTGTGTGTGTTCCTTTATATATGGGATCGGATTTCCTAGATTTATCAACCGATTTCAACAAAACTTCACAGGACTACGTAAAATTACCTTGCGGTGGTTCTGACAGCGCCAAACATCGGAAAAACACAATTGTTTTTGCACGAAATCAATTTGAAAACACGATTAAGAGGCATCACGAGAATGAAAGGGGGACAACTCATATCGAGTTATACTTATTTTAAAATCCAGGTTGTGTGTGTGTGTGTGTGTGTGTGTTCATTTATATATGGGATCGGATTTCCTACATTTTTCAACCGATTTCAACAAAACTTTACTTTTTTTTTGGTAGGTAGTGTTTCATATTGTCTTGCACACTTTTCCCTTTATTTTTACATTCAGAATGCTTTAAAAATTCCATTTACAAGACAATAATAAAATTCTATTCAATCGATAGACTCATAACGGTTGAAAACAATGTTTTTGTTTGAGTTTGGGTTTGACCAATTTGTAAAAAAAAAAAAAAAAAAAACAAAAAATTAATTAAGACATCCGTGTCCGTCAACCTTAAACAATAATCTTTGTCAGTTTTATTTTTCAGTCTTTATGATGGTCGATACTTGATCTATCTCCTACTGTTACATCCCCGGGCAACGCCGGGCTCTACTGCTAGTTAAATCTAATACACCAAGATAAAAGAAAATAAATGAAATAAACAAAATAAACTAACCCAAACCGAAGAGACAATAATATACAATAAACAATGAAATAAATTCTAATTCTGGGTGTTCAATCCCAGGATCATCCTGATTCCAAAAAGGTACAATGTGTCTATGGAGAGAAAGTGTATCTAGTGCAGTGGTTCTCAACCGGGGTCTACATGGACCCTAGGGGTCCATGTAATATTTCCGGGGGTCCACAGGCAAAACTCAATTGTTGTGTTAATTAAAAATAGTAATAATAATTATTATTATAATTATAGTAGAATATTTTATTTGTATTAAATTAGTTTTCATTTAAAAATAAAGCTTAATCGTATACTATTTCTTTGATAATTAAAACCTTAAAATTTATATTAGTGAATAGAAAATTGTTCTTATGTCCAATAGCTATGAAGGGGTCCACCAAG